TAAGTCATTTATTGGGGGATTTTTAATCTTCACTAAATTAATTTTTTTTGAGACGAGACAGGATCTCATTATGCAGTTCACGCTGGTCTTGAACTTGCAACAGTCCTCCTGCCTCAGATTCCCAAGTACAAGAATTACAGGCGTGTGTACCACACTCAGCCTGCTAAATTAATTATTCCTTATGAAACCTTGGAGCCAATCTCACAGCGTCTAGCATGGACTTTTTAGTTCATTCTCTGAAAGGCAAGACTCTCCCACCACGCTGATTTCTGTGTACTCTTTCTCTGCTTTCTGCACCAAGAGAACACGCTCCTGTCTACTTCCTCGTGTCCGTCCTGTCCATCCTGATGTTACACAGCACTGCTTGCCTGATCCACAACTTTATTCTTAAAACAAGTTCTATTTCCTATTCTTTCTACCTCTTGATAGTTTAATTTCCCCCTCTACTTAATCATATTTTGTAAAAGTTTTGTACATATTTAAATCTTTTCTGTCATAGCATTGTTCCTCTTATCTTTAATAATCTCTTATTGCCCAAAAGAAATGAATAGGAAAGTGGTTCGCCATTTGACTTTATGCAATCACACTTTCTTGATCTCTCTCCCAGCACATCCTTCTCAGATTTCTCTTAATTTGCTTTAGAATACCCCATCTATATACATTTCTTTGTCATTAGAAATAATAATATTTAAAGCTTTTAATCTACTAAAATTTGTCTTCAATTTATCTGCTTTCTCCTTCATAAATCTTCAGGTCAGCTGTCAGGAAAGAACAAGAGCTTAGGAGAAGCAGGAAGAGGAGAAAGATAAGAAGCAGGGAGGGAGAGGAAAGGGCGGAGAAGGAGAAAAAGAGAGGAGGAGAAAGAAGAAAAGGAGAAGAAAAATCCAGAAGAAAAAATAAAGAAGTCTGCTTCCGCTCTGAACCAGCAAGCAGAGCTCACTCCCCTCTTCCTGTGTTACTTTGGTTTTGCTCCATAAATTCTATAAAAACATTCTGTAACATAATTACAAAGGTTTAAAAGTTTAATGATAGGATTATCTGTCAGTAAGACTTGCTCTTCACATTGCTTTTCATCCAAGCAAGAGGGACTTCTCTTTGGAGACACCTAGCCAAGCACAAAATGGGGGTCTGGGGCTCCGGATTAGCTTGAAATAGCTAAAAGATCCTACAGAGTAGCAGGTTGGAAGGCAGACAGCATCTTTGTTAGTGGGTGGGTGTGGTGGCCACAGTGAGGGCCCAAGCACCATAGGAGGTGAAGATTTATACAGCAGAGCTCCTGCCCTCAGGAGTCTGTAACGATGGTTACATCGAGGTGTCAACATACCCTACAACATTGCATGTGCATGGAAAATACTGTGTGCCCAGAGGGGCTGCTCACGGCTGTCCAGAAGTGCGTCAGAACAGATTTCTGGAAGAGATTAAAATAGATGGTGGAGATGCAGAAGGGTTCGGCTAGACACAGATGGGGAGGCTGCATAGAGATGCCCATTATCACTAAGGAAACACTTTCAACAAACACAAAGGAGGAAACAGATTCAGAACAGTCACTGAGCACGGAAGAGGATAAAAACTAAAAGACTTTCAAGAGACTAGCAAGCCAAGCTGGGGAGCTAAATATCTCTCTTGGTCCTGTCGGGGTTTAATGAAGGACGGAGAGCGGGACTTCCGTGCGCAGCATCTCTCTCTGGGCTGGGATGCTCTTTTTCTCACCCCTTCCTCCCTTCTTGTCAGCCTCCTTCTCTTGGTGCGTCTGGCTTCTACTCATATTTGGACTAAATACCTACTTCCTTAGAATAACCTAAACGCATGATCCCTGCCTGACCCAACTTTCTGTCACAGGATCTTGTTTCTGTAGAATTTGTTGGACTACCTTGTGTAACGATGTAGGTAACTTTATCTACCCAGCACTTCCACCAGCATCAAAATTCACAAAATTGGAGATAACTTTTGTAGTGATATGAACCAAGAAGACAAGAGAACCAGACACAGGTAAAGGTAAATACTGATTTTTAAGCAGGCAAGAGAAAGAAAGGAGGGAAGGAAGGAAGAAGGGAGAGAGAGAGAGAGAGAGAGAGAGACAGAGAGAGAGAGAGAGAGAGAGAGAGAGACAGAGAGAGAGAGAGAGAGAGAGAGAGAGAGAGAGAGAGAGAGAGAGAGAGAGAGATTCTAGGAAATAGAAGAACAAGAGAGGACTATGTCCCAGATCCATGGGAAAAGCGAGTTTCAGACAGGAAGAAGTGAACAGCCTCAGAAACCCTACAATATCAAATGAGGTGAGAATACTGTGTTTTTCCACTTAGAGATCACCACTAATCTTTGAGAGTTTCTGCAGGGTGGGAGAGATGGACAGCACGTTGTCAGGATTCAGGGCTACACTGTTGCCGGGTGTGTGGTGCACGCTTATCATCTCAGCACTTGGCAGGCTGAGGCAGGGGTGCCCCACACTCAGGACCTTCCCGGGATACACAGCAAAACACTGTTTCAATGAACAGTGAAGCCTAAGAAACAAAAATCAAAGGTGAGAAATGGCTTGTGTTTAAGGATAGGGTGGGCGACAAGAGAAAAATCAAAGGCCGGAAGACAACAGGGGCAGATAAAGGGCTGAAGACGTTTGGGGAAGGAATCCTTAGCTATGTATTGCTAGAGGAAGCTTTAAAACATTCCCCACACCACTGCCAAGACACGTAAGGTGGGAACCTAACCTAGTCCCTAAGTTTCAATCATGATAGAAAGCCATAAAAAGACTTGAAAATTGTAAGATCTCTGCCAATAAGACATTGAGGAATGAGCACAAAACCAACTACAGTGCGCAGGTAGCCTGAGCTACAGACCCCAACCACAGCGTTTACATCCTCCAGATAATTTTATCAAAATAAAATTCATGGCTCTCGCACTGAGGCCGAAGGATTTGTAACATCTCCCCCATCACATCCCCGCTGAATTTCTGATCTGGAAGGGACATTAAACATCACCTGGTAATCACCAGTGGACCTGCGTCAAGGGTAGCGTCTCCTTTCCTAACTGAGGTTTTTTATTGCTCTAGATGGGGACATTCCTCTTACTAACATTCTTCCTCTTTGACAAAAGCATCGCAGCCAATACGCAGCATTTCTCATCTCCCCATTTCGAAAAGCCGAACTGGTTTAATAATTCACTGTCTCAGTGCCTGAAAAATGAAACTATTATCTTTGACTCCATCTATAAAATTGTTCTTTGCTCCTCCCACTTGCTAAATGAACTTCAATTTATCACTCATTTTATGGACCTTATCTCCTCTAGGAGAAATTTGATCAGATAACCTGGGCCTTAAGAAAGCAGAGGAAGATTACTAGGCATGGCTTCAATTGTTTGAGCACTTCTCTTTGATCTGGAAATTTTAGGATGGTTATAGGATGTCTCCGGGGTCTCCTGAATTTTTGATGGTGCAGGAAATGATTACCTTGGCCTTAGAGTCTGGAGGGCCCTTTGTAGAGTGCTGGGGCTGATCCGCAGAATAACTTGAAGATGAGCTTAGTTCCTCGTCAGGGACTGCACATTCCTGGTTTAATGTTGTGATATAATATGACAGATTTATACTTTGTTCTGACATAATGAAATGCAAAGGGATGAATGTTTTATTTACACAGTAACTCTTATTTCAACAGTTCACTAGCTGTTGCATAGGCTTTCTTGCTTCCTCCAAAGGGCCTCTAGTATCCCGGGGAGACTTGCCGAGCAGCCTCCCCAGTTTAGAAAGAACAAAGCACTACACCATGAAATCAAGAAGAAATAAGACAATAATATAAACAAAGCAAGAAACAAAACCAAAAACCAGGAGAACTGTACAACATCCATTCCCCAAAGGCATCTCTGCTACCTAGGTGTTCTTTCTTCTGTCTGGATACAGGAGTCACAAAACACATGTTTGTTGAATGAATTTCTTTCTGGGCTCATTATTCACTCAACAAACATTGCTTATTGTTCTTTTGATGAATGTTGTTTTTCTCCAGCAAGTGTAAGGAACTGCACAAAGCATACAGATACAAAAGGGATACAATTTGGCATTCGAGCAAAGACAATTTTATGAAGAAATAAGAGCAAAAAAAAATATCAATTCAGTATAGTGAGTCCTCTAGCAGAAGGTCTGCTAGATAATAGGGAGAAGGGCAGAGAGAAATTAACCCAATTAATATTAGGACAGTTGAAGGAAATTTTAGAGATTCATTTTGAATGCAAATCAATTCAGTGTCATGAACCTGAAATTGAATCTATCAAAGGAGCTTGGGAAAATCTCTCTGCTTTCTATTCGAACAGGCACTCACACTGTCACAGTGGAGGTTACCTGGCTTGTTGGCCACAGCTCTTCAGGAAACTTGGAAATCACATGAGTGCGAAAGAGAGACATGGGCTGGCTCACTCTGTCGGAGAGCATCGCCAGGACCGGGCACCTGGGAAACAGGAGATGCCAGGTCACGCTGCAGGAATAGAGCAAAGTTTCCTGGAGAATTCGGTCAGGTGCAAGTGAATACAAACACCAAGCAAAACAAAACCCACTGTCACCACCATGGCGGCACAGGAGGCAGAGACCAGGAAAGGCCCAAGGTTGGATTATTTCCCCCTGATTTTTGTTTAACTACTAGATAGGGATCTGGGTCCTGCTGAACAGAATAAATATCCAGAGCTCCCTGCAGCCCCCAAAAGCCACTGCTCCCTCCCAGCATAGTCGGGAGCAGAACCAGGACCAGCTTTTCTAGTTGAGGTGTGCAACTTTCTCCTGTGCGCGTGCTCATCAGGCTGTTCACTGTCATTTCAGTGTGTGGAAACCTTTTATACGAGGGCAAAACGCGAAGCCCAGAACGGTTTATGCCTGCTTGTTGAGCTCTTTCTCTGACTTATTATGTGCAATTACAATAGGGTCCTTAGATGCAGAAGGTGGCAGAGAGAAAAAAAGTTAAGGCCCCAAATTGGAAAAATGAACAACCCGAAAACAGAGAGAAGTTCCCCAAAGGCAGCAGCACCCAGCAAATCCCGGCCATGAGTCAGCACAGGGGAGGCCAATCCCCTTCCAGGGGAGCCTGATTAAGGATCAGGCTCTGCAGTTGGGCTGGGCTGGGCTGGGCTGGGCTGCTGCTTCTCCCAAGACCAAGTCTTAATAGCAACTTCCCTCCTCGGCTGCCTAAGCATTCTTTTCTGTGACTGGAAAGAAGTGTCACCTTTTGCTCATTCTCCAGCTTTCCCCCCACCGCTCCAGACACCGTGTGTGGGGAGCAGGGCTGCGTGAGCCACCTCCTCCACCTCCTCGGGTGACTGCTGTGAGGAACTTTCAGCCCCTCTCTTTGTAAAGCTATGAACTTCCTCGAGAAGCCCAGGAGCCAAGCAGCTGCTTTTTTGCCTCTTTGCTGGCTCCTTTTGAAGATTCTGCAACCAGGGCACAGCCACCTTTATAACAACAGATACGCTGGGTAAGTGGAGCTACTTTCCTGCCCTGCCTGGCTTGGATTGGGATGAGGGGCTGGTTTGCTCCCGCGTGCCTCACTTCGTGCTCTCTGTGTGAATCTGCGCTCTTTCCTGGTCCCTTACCTAAAGTGTACATGCAACTCTCAGTCCTTTGGTTTGGCTCATGAGCATATATGCTGGGCAAAATCTGGCTTTTCCTAGTTTTTATACCGGGCTGAGCTCTGCTGAGGACCCAGTGTTGCGTGGGATACTGTCTGTAGGTGGCTGTGACCAGGATTCGCAGTGTTCAGTGTCTGCCTCAGTTGGTGCTCAGCATGAAGGATGCTGTAGTACCACGTGAATTATGACCTGAAAATTAAAGCTTCTCCTTTAGAACTGCATGTAGGAACCGTGGGTTGAAATTCACCGGTGATTAATTTAAGAGCTGAGTGTGACTTTTTTAATGCTTGTTAGTCTTCAAAGTGGTTGTTAGAGTTTCAAATCTGAGCCGTACAAATAATTCAACTCAAAGTAAGCAGAATACAAGTAGCCAACCATAAAATTATGGATATTTTTATGAAGAAAAAAACAATGTGTTTTTCCCCTCTTTGGGTTAGTGTGCTTTGTACATGGCTTTCTTAAGGAGGCCCAGGGCTAGGTAGAAAGTAGTGTATTATGATGCATGTTCTTATTATCCTGAAGGCTTGCTGTGGCGTAGACAACATGTGCTTGGCTCATACTTACAGGGGGCTATTCTTTGAGCCTGGAAATTATGGTATGCCTGCATTTTAGAAGTAGAAGAACCTTAAAGAGTTTCTCTAGTTCAATTGGTTAAAACACAGGAGAAAAACCAGTAACTCAGATCTCTCTTTTTTTTTTTAAACTATTATCTCTCAATAATCATCACCTGGGAAAACTTTTCATATAAATATGGATTATAACCTGGTAATACCTCCTGTCTTAAAAATTGTTCTCTTCAGGAATAGTGTAGAGAGGAGTTTATAAATGTGACACCACAAAAGAGAATTGTTTCCTTTCTTTCCTAAAGAAACTGGGCACTACCTTTAGTGTTTGTGTGAATACAGTAGGGACAGAGGAAATTTTAAAAACATTTCTTCAGTTTTAGAGGAAGAAGAATGGGAGTGGAGGTTTGGTAGAGGTAGGAGCTGTAGATGGTGATGGAATCCCAAATTTTTCCACCCTGGAATGGAAGAGAGTTAACATTGAGGGCTACTTTCTGGTCTCCTGAATACACAAGATCCAGGCTTTATATTCTGTTATTTGTTATCTCTCTTGGAAATGTGGGTAAAATGTTCGTGTTTAATGCCTGCTAGTGCAACCTGGGGTTGTGGAAGAGTTAATTCTGACCCTCTTGGCTGCCGTGAGGCCACATGAGAAACACACATTACGGAGTTAGATGTGCTCTTGTGACAGAGTACTTCACTCTGGCCCTCCGCTGTAGCCCTGTCTGTAATTTCTGCAGCGTGCAGTGCCCCTTGGTGCTAACCCGTGAGGCCTGCTCCGGCTGGTGAGCAGGTGTGCACCCTCCCTAAGCACCACTTCATAGGGGAAATGGGGCCAGCGGCAACATCCTTTCCAGATAGAATTTTTAGCAACTGGAGCCCTGCTGGAGGAGGCTGGGCTATCTTCTCTGTTGTTCTGCGCCAAAAATAATAATTGTCATTTTCTCTTTCGCTGCCACAGAATAAGATAGTCCCAAATGTATAAATTACCAGATGTCAGAAAGGTGGAAGGAAGAAAATCAGATGAAACACTGAGAAGCTAAAGAATCAAGTCTTAGCTGTCCATCACAACACAAGGCCGTCTTGAAAATCAGAAATATTTGAGCATATGCACCATGAACAGAACTTTCATGTACATTCGTGAGAGACACATCATTCTTTCATCACCAAAGACAGAAATGCTACTGACATGTGAAAGTATTTTGCTTTGTTTACTTAGGAAACTACTTTCTGCATGTTTAGATTTTTAGAGGTCAGGCATCTGATGGGAAGACATGGAGGAATGGTATTTAGCAATCTTTTTGACCGACTGTGTCCATCTGGCTATTCTAACCTACTTCATTTTTATCCCTTAATAAAGTTTTCTTTTAATTTTCATGTTAATAATTATGAGGCAACCCTATTTCTTACATTCATGTAAGTACATTTGATAGGTCTTGATTGAATTCAACAATATGAAATTATAATTTATAGGACCCTGAACATGAATGCAATGGAAGTCAGGAAAGAATAGCTTGCCTCCTGAGAGCACCTAATGAGCTCAGTCCTCTTCAGGTACATAAGGTAGTAACAACAGGAGAGAACAAATCCAATAATAGATGCTTAGTAAGTGACGAATTTAAGCATCCTTGGAAACAAAGCAGAAATGTGTAGAAAGGCATCAGAGAAAATCTGATGATTTTCTATATTAAGATATAACCATAGTAAGTTATACCTTCACAAAGGAGGTTAAAATTACACAGAAAATGCATAAAACAAAGTGAGGAAAATAATTCGACTTTAAGTATCATTGAACTCAATTCTCCACTGTTGGAGGGGTTCAGAGGCTACAATGCCAAGGCAAATTTTGAATGATAACAAATGGATGAATGTGTATCTCCTGCACAAGCAAACATCACTGTGTGTGCTTTTCTTTGCCTTCATCTCATTTTCCTGGAGGCAGATCCAGTTATTTGTTATAGTAAGATATTGAGAAGAAAGGGAAAAAAGATTTCCATCACAGGAAAGTAGGGTAGATTATTTTTTAATTATAGTAAAACATAAGTGCTGGCAACATGATAGAATTAGCATGGCTATGAATTTTGAAAACTACTCACTTAATTTTTCGTGTCAGTTGGAGTAGCATCCTGAAGTTCAACTGCTTTGATTTCAGTTCATACTTTTCCACACTTAGCTCTGTTTCCTTGGGCAAATTCCTTAATACATTCCCACTGACTTGAAAAACTAGAGATACAGGTATAACCTATGTACCCAATGGAACCGTCCAGTACCACCCAATGGGACAGTCATACAAATACCACCAGTGGTCGCCCAGCAGCAAGACATACAAATTACAGCCCATCTAGAATGTGTTAACTTCTCTAAACCTGTCTCCTTATCTTGGACAATGGAGATAGATTTAGAACCTGATTACCAAATTGTTGTGATAATTAAAACAATAGCATGGATATAGCATGGTACTTAGTAAATACTTTATAAAACGGTAAAATAGCTACTACTTACCAATATTTACTATAAAATTTATAAAAATTTAGTAGTTCTCACCATAACCTTGTGCCAGTGGTATATACACAGATAAGCTAACTAAGGTACCAACTGCGTAGCGTAAGTTCAGAACTCACTAACTCAAGGTCCCTGCGAGGACAACATTGCCTGATTCCACAAACTACTTCATAACCTGTCATGCATATTGAAAAAAATTGGATTTAGAAATACACTAAAAGTTTAATCTTGTTTTTGGAAATGACAATTTCAGAACAATAAAGAGATGAGGTAGGTGAAATTAGAAGTTTAGTCATGGTCACCTTCTCTGGGGTGATGGTAAGTCACTGATGGTGAATCATTAAGAAAGGTTGGCAGAACCCATAGGGATAGAAAACAGAAAACAAAGGACATTTACATTGTCACATACACAGGAACAAAAATAGCTCCAAAATTGGAAGTGAACATATGCCTTCATTCATCCAAGAACTACTTTTTGAAGGCCCTTGGTATGTAAGGAGGTTGACTGACAAAGCAGTGCCTCCTGGGAGCTGCGGTTAGGAAGGAAAATGGCCCACACAGGAAGTGAGAATACATGGTGCACACAGTGTATGGCATGAGCAGACTTATGAGGGTTGATAAACATAGCCAGTGTGCCCAAAGGAGGGACAAATCCCTCTAAGCCGGGCCAGTTCTGATTTCCCAGCCCTGGCTGGAGCATGGCGGGAGATGCTGAGAGGCGCCATCATGTTGGATGTTTCTTGGGACTTGAGCCTAGTAATGTGGGGTCTGTTTGCCAAGACCTGCGGACTTGTCCTTCCTTGCTGCAGTCCCACATTCACTGAAGTCACTTCTTATGTCCCATACAGATTCTTCCCGTCCTTTTCCTAGGGGGTGGCTCTGATGAGGCAGCCTTTTCCCCACCACCATATGCAGACCTTCTTTATCTTAATTTGGGTTTAGATCATTTTCTCCCAACTTTCTCCACTGTTTTCAACTTTTTTCTTACTGTTACTTTTACTAAAATAAGACTTAGGTTACTCCCGTGCCACTTTGGCTCCCTATTGCCACCAAATCAAATATAGATTCTTCTGCCTTTCACAGCCCCTACAATCAGAGTTTAGCTGTCCCACTCTACCCACTCTCTAACCGTGAGACCCACGTCTAGCCAAGCTGGAGAAGTAGAACTCCAGTACTCCACACTTCTAACCAGCAGGGCAGGCATGCCCCGTACTTAACAGGGCCCCCAAGCAAGAAGGAGCCCTCTCAGCTCAGGAATGAGAGGCTGCAATATGTGCTCTGTGTGTATTTGGAGCATTAAAAACAAAGGGCACATGGTTGGTTCTCAGGTTGGTTTTGAGAATTTCCTCCACAAGTCAGTCTGTGGTTGTTCTAGTTGTTACCTGAAATGTCCCTAAGAGAGTTATTTTATTGAAGGCTTAGTATGTTTCTGCTGCCGTGAGCCACCAGTGGAACATGCATGACCATTTCGTCAATGGTTTGTACCACTGGTGGTAGAAGCACAGTCATGCATGGGATAGTCATGCAAGTGCCTCCAGTGGTTCAAATCACCCAGCAGGGAGAAATGAATTACAGCCCTGTCATGAATGTGCTAATTGCTAGCTAATGGGGACTCTGACTTCACTGAATGAATTAGTCTTTAGATGAGTTCATTAGGAAGTGGGTTTAATTAGATGAAGAAGGTCACTTTGGGTGTGGCTTTGAAGACTGCATTTTGTCCCAGTCTCTCCCCCTCTGCCATTCCTTCCCCATCATCATGGTCTGTTTTATCACAGGCCTGG